GCGAGTCAATCTTCTTCTATCCTTATCAAATAATTGTTGATAGAATTTATACTTAGCTTTCTTTGTAGCATATCTCCTAATTGCATTAAATTGCTTCCTTCTCCCCTCCTTTCTCATCTTCCCTTTTCCTTTATTCCTCAACTCTATTTGACTTTCATTTCTAGGGTCCTTTCCCTCTACTAATGAATAACATAATTTTTCCAACATTGCCCATCCGAGAGCTTTTGTTAAATCCTCCTTTAATAATCCTTCAATTTCCCCTAAACTATTTATTATTTCTCTTCCCTCCCTACTTTGTTTTCCCCGTTTACATATTTTCTCCACTAAATCCACTTCTGGATGTCCTTTTAGTGGGAAAATCCTCTCTCTTGGGGGCGGAATTTCTAATATATTTACTCTAATGTCCTCTACCTCAGTCACTTCCTCCCTATCTCCTGTTACCACTAACTTCTTCTTTGCTAATTCTCGTCTTTTATCTGATATTTGTTTATTCATTTTGGTCCTCATCTCGCTCTCAATACATTTATTTATATTCCTTTTCCCAATATATTTCCTTTCCAACTGTATAAGCTGCGCAACCTCATCCTTGGTCCATATACGAGATCTAGTCGATCCCTCTTTGATCTTACTTTTAGCAGCCATATCTTCTTTTCTTTGCTCATTCCTCACAGCAGGGTGTCTATGTCTACAGTGTTGACTCAATCCAGATCTAGTATGAAAACCAAGCCCACAGACCGAGCACGTATGGCTCTTCATTGGGGTATCTGCCTTCTTGGGTATGCACTTGGGGTAGTGGCAAGCTATATTATGATATTGAGAAGATTTTCCACATTTACTACATACAACTCGTATGGCTTTACTTTTATGAACCACATGAATGTGTTTGGCCCATTTACCAAATGTTGGTAATATCTGGGGACATATTGGACAATTAAAACTATCAACGGGATACTCTAAATAAAAAACCCCATCCTTCCACGAACTACTTTCTAATATATTTATATTACTACCAGTACTGTTAAGATCCTTATTACGATCCCTATTAAAATCAGTACTTGGTCTAAAACTATTTAATAAACTAGACCCATTAACTAAATGAGCATTAAGATATCCCGATTCGCTAACATATGGATCATCAAATGTACTTAAATACTTAAAATCTGGATTGAAACTTTCCATAGTTAAATCATTAAAAGTGTCCCTTGTAAAAACCATCGGTAAGATAGATAAAATCTCCTCACCATGATCATCACAAACATTCTCCTCTACCTCCTCTCCATGCTCCACTGGGAGGACTTGATTCTCACTCTCATGCTCATGAGACTTCATTATAGTCCACACCATTTTATCCATTGGTCCAGCGACCCTGATCACACCCCTAATATATTTAACACTGTCAGCCGGGGCATCAAAGCCAACAGCAGGGGCGTTATTAACCCGGTCCAGCGCCAATCCGGTATAAAAATATAAATTACTTTTTTCCATAGCTAAAAGATTTACCCTTCTCAGGGGAAAACTAACCCTTTCCAGGGGGAAACTAACCCGTACCTGGGGGAAACTTACCCTTTCCAGGGGGAAACTAACCCGTGCCTGGGGGAGACTACCCTTACCAGGGGGAATCTAACCCTTACCAGGGGGAGTCAACCCGTACCTGGGGGAGGCTACCCTTACCAGGGGGGCATCCATGTGGCACCATATGGGGCTGCCCAACCCCATCCCACACCCCACTGAATGTGGGATGTGGGTTCGTCCTCCGCAATCCGCCTGGCTATCCAAGCCAGTTACCGACTCTCACCACGAGGAGGTAGCGGTTGGACTTGCAATCCAGAGGCTTTCCTCAAAGAGGGGTCCCAAACAGCATAATGTCGAGCTCTAACGGGCGTGTGAGAAAAGGCTCAGATCTTGGTAGGGGTTGCCCCTATTGACCGGGCTCACGCCCACCCCCACCTCACCGATAACCCATTCTCTCACTACCCTCAGGCAATGTTTCCGTCCAAGCCCGACAGCTGAGAGGGTCCAGAGACGCATGGAGAGCCATTAAGAGAGCCTAAGCCTCCCTGCCTCTTGTCCCCTGACTGCCCCCTCCTGAGACCCTCCCCCCATCCTAACCTGTACCCTGACTGCCTCAACCCTTATCCACACCCCCACCCCCAGACAGACCCCTGGGACTCCCACGCCCCATCCAACCACTCCCCACCCCCTGACAGCCCCCCCCAGAACTCCCGACCCATCTAAACCCCTCTGCTCCCTGCCCCCTGACAGCCCCGCCCCCAGAACTCCCAACCCCCGCCCCGCTCCTTGTCCCCTGACTGCCCCCTCCTGGGACCCCTGCTCCTAACTGCCCTCCAGAACCCCACCCCCTACCTAAGCCTCCCTGTTCCTTATCCCCTAACTGCCCCCTCCTAAGACCCCCCCACCCTAACTGCCCCCCAGGACCCTACCCCCTACCTGTACCCTGACTGCCCAAAACCTTATCCACACCCCCCCAGAAAGCCCCCCCCGAACTCCCGACCCCCCCGTCTCTTGACTGCCCCCTCCAGAACCTCCCTGCCCCTTCTCCGACCCCCTGGCCCCCTTACCCTGCCGCTCGTCCCGGCACGCTGGGCAGCAGGGGGGGAGGAGCGGGGGAGGAGCTCCAGACTGCCGGAGGTGATCTGCGAATGCAGGGAGGGAGGGAGTGATCTCTGCTGCAGGGGAAGCGGAGGAGGGGCTCTCTGGCTGTCGGAGCCCCATGTAAATGGCACCATCCGTCCGGCTGCCCTGTTAGCCGTGCGCGCTCTGCATGGGGGGGGAAGTCCAGACATTTACAAATTCCCCCCGGACGCTATTTTTAGTTCAAAAAGCCGGACATGTCCGGGGGAATCCAGACGAATGGTAACCCTAATAAAGAGCTGAATAACAGGATGAGGGGAAGGGGAAGAAGCTAAAAAGTGAAGGGCCTAATTCTCCCCTTACACTACTGTATAATTCTGCCAACTTTGGTGGAGTTATTCCTGATTTGCTCCTGTGTAAATGAGGCCAGAACCAGGCCCAAAGGCTTCATGGACATGGCAATTTCCTGTGATAGTCTCCTCAGGATAAGGCCTGGTTTACATTTTTTTAATGTAGAAGTGACCTTAGAGAGGTCTTAATGCAGGTCCTTCCAGAGCAAACTTGATGTCTCCTCAGTGCCCCAAGCCCTCTGCTCAACTGGGGAGCCTGAGAACAATGTGAGGAACTGGCTGTGGAAGAGCTGATGATCTGAACTCCGATTCCCTGAGTGCCAGTGCATTGTGTCTCTAGAGGCAACTTAATCTTGGTCTATAAGTACCTGCACATAATATATCTGATACTACAGGGCTCTTTAATCTGGCAGGCAAAGGTGTAACAAGATCCAATGGCTGGAAGTTCAAGGGAGAAAAATTGAAGTGGAAATAAGGTGCAACTTTTGAACAGTGAAAATAATTAACCATCACAACAGCTCACCGAGGGATGTGGGGCATTTTCCTTCACTTGGCATTGTTAAATCAAGACTGGATGTCTTTCTTAAAGATAAGCTCTAGTTTAACCACAAGTGATTGGGCTTGAGGCAGGTGCTGCTGGTGAATTTCTGTGGTCTGTTATGAAAAATTTTAGATTATAGCCTTAGAAGCGATGAATCTATGAACCATCTTGGTCTGTTTCTACAGTAAGTTTGTTATGTCACCAAAAACCTTGAAAACCCCCAATTGGTTCTTTTAGCTTAAAGACAGGTTAAAAAAAAACAAATTTTGTCTCCAACTCTTGCTTATTCTTTCCTAGTGGCTGAGCTGGTTTTTGTTACTTTTATCCCACTTTGGACAACCCTTAGTGTAGACCAGGGGTTCTCAAACTTCACTGCACTGCGACCCCCTTCTGACAACAAAAATTACTACACGACCCCAGGAGTGGGGACCAAAGCCTGAGCCTGCCCAAGCTCTGCCACCCCAGGTGGGGAGAATCAAAGCCCAAGCCTCACTGGCCCAGGTGAGGGAGCCAAAGCCAAAGCCCAAGGGCTTCATCCCCAGGCCCCTGCCATCCAGGGTGGAAGCCCTCGGGCTTTGGCTTTGGCCCTGAGTGGTGGGGCTCAGGCTTTGGCCCTGGGCCCCAGCAAGTCTAATGCCAGCCCTGGCAACCCCTCTAAAATGGGGTTGTGACCCACTTTGGGGTCCTGACCCATAGTTTGAGAACTGCTGGTGTAGACCTTGGTACAATATTCCCCTTCCCCTGCCTGGCAGAAAAGTGCATTCCCCTCCCTGCCACAACATCTCCCTCCCTCCTTGAGTTTGCATTTGCCTAGGATACTGCCCCAGTTCAGGGCCATCCCCTTTCTCCCCCGCCGCCCTCCTCCCCCCCGCTGTCAGGAGTCTGGAGACTGTGTTCTCATTCCTTGCGGCTCTAGCACTTCCCAGCTCTAATGACTCTCTCTGTTTTATAGAGACAAGGTGGGACTAGCATGGCTACAACAACCCTGCATACAACATCTGTGTGTTTTACTCCTCTCAGGTTACCTTCAAAAGGTGCTGAAGAACCACACAGCCCACGCCTGTGATGGGGAGCAACTGGGAGTCATTTGTCCCCACAAGACCTCCATTAGCATCCTATCTGCATTTTATGGGCGTCGAGTGCCCAGCCAGAACCTCTGCCCGAGCACTGGCAATATCTCTAGTGAGAGCATCATGTGTGTATCTGCCACAGCCCGCCAGGTAAAAGCAAAAACATCCTTGAAATTCACAAGTAACAACATTCTAAGGGAACTGCAGGAAACCAGGGCAGTACCGTGCATGGAGGTGTTCAGGGTGACATGGGATACTTTTGGGTTCAGGCAAGGGAGATTAGATTGTCTGATTGGGGGCCCCCAAAGTGCCCCCACATCTGCCAACTGGCCCTCAAACATTGTAGCCTCAGGTCCCATCCCAAAAAATGGTGGGTGGTTTGGGACCTTGTAGTGAACTCCCACCCCTTACCTATACATGCAGAAGGAATTCAGGATGCTATTTTACCAGTGGAGTGATGAAAGGTACTGACACAATGGGACCTTCTGTGATGGATTGGGTGGGGTTCACCTCCTGGAACTGCATTTGAAGATATAAACCTAGGAAGAGGCGTTATAGATTCATTTTAACCAAGATGAATTTTGGAATAGGCATACAAAAAATTAATTGTGAGAAATTTGTCCATGTTAGGGCTTAACCCAGAGACGAAAGATGGTCCAGTTGCTGTATAACCCCCCAAAATTGATTCTGGGATGCCGCTCTAATAATCTACCCCCATTAAACTGTCCTTCCCGAGATATAAGTTTCCAGGGTTGTTAAGGAAATGCTAAAGGACACGGATATAACCTTCGGATAAAGAAATTGACACAGGAAGTCTTGTTTTTCAAAACAAAGTAACTAATAATCCCTAATACACTGTATCCTAAAAATTCTAAACAAAACACAAAATCCCCGAGACACAAATTCCTTGTTGCAAGTTTAAACAGCATTTAAACCCCAATAGTATATAGTTTATGATTCTAAGCAAAGTGCTTTGTTACAAGTGGCCAGTTTGTAACAAATCGCAGACAGTAGTTCTTTAAATCAGTGGTTCTCAACCTTTCTAGACTACTGTACCCTTTTTAGGTGTCTGATTTGTCTTCTGTACCCCAAGTTTCACCTCATTTAAAAACTACTTGCTTACAAAATCAGACATAAAAATACTAAAGTGTCACAGCACACTTACTGAGAAATTGCTGACTTTCTCATTTTTATCATATAATTATAAAATAAATCAATTGGAATATAAATATTGTACTTACATTTCAGTGTGATATTGAGCCTGTTTTTTCACTTGTGAGCCTTGTCTGAAGCCCAAGCCTTGCTGTCCAGGGCTGAAGCCCTGCTTGCCACCAGCTGATTTCGGCTCTGCACTTGCATCCCCATCCCGTGACCCCCCTGGAGGCTTCAAACCCCAGGCTGAGAAACACTGATCTAGATGAGTTGAGTACCTCCTGGAAGACCTTTGATTACCCCTGGTTGAGAACCACTGCTTTAAATTTCACATAAGTAAAAAACAATTAAAAGACACACACTTCTAGCATACACATGTTAAATACTATGCTAGACTACACTACACTAAAAATTATATTAAAACTGGCAACCTTACTTCATAAATCCATTGGTATCCCTTTATATCACTACTGCTGCTGTGATAAATCTTTTAGTATTCTTCTTTAATCGCAGTTCAGCTCCTGGTCAGTCAGCTCTGCTCTGTCTCTCTCTCTGCAGCTTTTCTGACTTCTTTCCTTTGGCTTCTCTTACTGGTTTCCAGTTCCTCCGTCTGCTCCCGACTGAATTCCCTTCTCTCTCTCTCTGACTCGGACTCTGAAACTGCCTGCTGACAGCTGGCCTTTTATGGTGCACTGTGGCTCTCTCCTAATATACCTTTCTATTTTTAGAAGCAATTACCTCACTTGCACATGCCCAGTATCAACCATTAGTTTAGGAAATGTAAATTTCAGAGATTTAAATACAGAAAGATCATGATTTTTAATTTACTGGGGCTAATATAGAACCAAAGGAAATCATTGTTTTCCTTTGACTCTGGATACTCGAGCCATGTATGGTGGAGGTGAATGCCGAAGTCATTATTCTTTTCACCCAAGAGATTCTCTGAGAGGTGCTTTTATTGTGTAGAGTCCAATGGCAAAAGAATTTTTAAACCTGATTAAATACTTCCTTAACATTGCACTTTGCTGGGAAGAGATCTGCCTTCACATGGGCTTATGAAGGAAAGAGATTGTGTGTCAAAGAGTCAGAAAGCCAGATAGAGGCACAGGTTCTTTGACATTAGCAGCAGCTAACTTTTCATTCTGTGTGTCACCATTTTAAGGAGGGGTGTCTGGATAAGAAACTAGGAGATATGTTGGGGTTTTAAAGCAACTGAACCTCACCCACCCCACTAGGTTCTGACAACTACTGTGAAAATTGTTTGAGGTGGGTGGCATCCTCTGACTGTCTGGAACATGCAGTGACTTTTCTGACACCAGTTAGATCCTCATCACAATCACAGTGGAATGTTTTTATTTAGTGACAGTCCATTTCACCATTTAGTGCAAGCTGATCTTCATCCTCTTCATTTAATAGAAACATTCTTGACTGTCCCAGCTGACATATCAGGGAGTCAAAATGGGGCCATGAGCCTAGACTGATCCTGGGTCTCTGATCTCATGAGCCAGGGGATTTTATACTTGTGAAATTTTATTGCCTCTTGTTGGCTTATCTTGGGGATAGGACGCAGCTGGGTTTTACTATTGAATTGAGAGCTATGACTTGTTTTGTAGCTGAGCCTACGGTAACACCACTAAGCTCCTTTTTACTCACCATCACCTCCTTGTTCTAGATTCACCAGGAGAGTGGAAATCCTTGTCCTTGTGCCTTTGGCTGCCAAGGGCAGCTGGATTTAAAGAGAATATTAGAGCAAGAGGTGTGCAGAGCAGCCCAGGAGAACTAAGAGCTGATTGGAACCTTCCTTATAACCTCAGACTGAACCTTTCATAGTATACGTCTCACTAATAAGAGCAACCCCTCATAGGCAGTTAGGAGTGCCCTGGATGTCATGTTCCCTGAGTCAGGAACAGAATAAGGAATGAGTCCGACCGGGGATAGCAGTGTTACCATCTCCCCATAGCTCAGAGTTATCATAGTTATCATTCATCTGACGAAGTGGGTATTCACCCACGAAAGCTCATGCTCCAATACATCTGTTAGTCTATAAGGTGCCACAGGACTCTTTGTTTCTTTTTACAGATCCAGACTAACATGGCTACCCTTCTGATACTAGAGTTATCATAGTTATCCATCCAGAGTTATTCATCACCACTCTTAACATGGGTGACTGTTGGGGCAATCCCCTCAACCCTCAGAATCAACTAACTTTCCTGGCTGTCTGGAAACCAACCTGATTTCAATGAAAATAATGGTGCTGATAATGAGCATAAAGCACACAACTCTTTCGAAGATTCCCCAGCACAGCAGCTCTAGTTCTTTCTCTGCCATTTCACTTTTGACTTAATAAACACACCAAAGGCTTTTCACCCACGGGCTGGGCTTTCAATTTGCAATTTTTGTTCCCCATCAAACGTCTCACATCAGCCTGAGCTGTCCTTGTGTTGCGCCGCTCTTTAGTTACAACACTCTGGCCCATCAACCCAGCTAGAGGAGGGTATGGGTAACTCCCTGGTTCCCTCCAGGGACTGAATCTCCCTGGCCAATCCAAGTATGCAAACTAGGAAATATCATCTGGTCCAGCTGCTGATCATTTTAATCATGGATAAGCCTGTGATTCTGTCACAGAGGTCATGGAAGTCACAGATTCCATGACTTTCTGTGACCTCCGGGACTTCCAGAACAGTTGGTACGGCCGACTCCAGGGCCACTCGAACAGATGGCCCAAGGACCAGCTGCTCCGGTGCCCCACGGCCAGCCGCACCGGCCGCTGCTGGAACGGCCCCAGGGCCAGCTGCTCAGGCTGCCCCCAGGGCCAGCCGCATCGGCCGCTGCTTGAGTGTCCCCCGGCAGCTGGCTCCGGGGAGCGCCGGGGCCCCCTGAAGCAGAGATTCAGTCATGGGTATTTATAGTAAAAGTCATGGACAGGTCACAGGCCGTGAATTTTTATTTATTGCCCGTGACCTGTCCATGACTTTTACCAAAAATACCTGTGACTAAATCTTAGCCTTAATCATGGATTGAGAGGCATAGTATTCACCAACTGACTCCTGCATGGGCATTGAAATGGCTCAGTTGTTTGTTCAGCAAACTTTACTGGCTTATTTTAGTTGGTCCTTCTGAAACCCCACCCCCATGCTCTGCATAGCCAATGGGGACAGGAACCCTGTGCTTATCCACTCCCAGGTAATCTTTTTCTATGAACACTGAGGACGAGCTGTGACCCTAGCTGTGCATATCACATTGTATGTATTATGCTTATTGATTGCAGAGTCCATTGACTTAAGGTATTGAGGCTTAAGAGTGAAATGGGTCAAAGTTGTTTTCCATTTGTGTCATTACAGATACAGTGTAGAGGGAACCAGTCACCAGGTTTGGAGGCTTATTGAGTTATCTGTCTTTATGGCCTGTAGCCATCAGTTCCCTATTCCTGCCACTTGTGGGGCCCACTGACTTTCCCTTACTCACCACAACCAGCATGCAGGGCATTTCTTAGGGGGCTTTCTAAACCAAGTGCTCTGGGGTATGTGCCCTTCCCCCCACAACTGCCTCTCACGAGGTCAGAAGGCTGCTGGCCCTTTAAGGGAAGTCCCTATGCTAGACCCATGAAGTCATTCAAGCCTCCAGTGATCTCATTGTACACAAAGATGCTAGGATTAGAATCAAAGAAATGGTATGTAAATAACACCTCTGGTGTGACACTCCACCAAGGGTCACCCTAGGGCTAAGTACAAGGAATAAGAGACACCTCACAATTTTAGAGAGCACTTTCTCACCCTCCTAGGGGGTCTCAGAGCTATCAGAGACACCACTCTGTGGATTTCAGCTCAGCCCAGCACACATATACATTCCAGGTTTCTATCTGGCCCCACCATGGGAATCAGTAATGCACTTATCCCAGCAGCCCTCTGTGAGGCAGGGCAGGGCTATGTGTCTCATTTTACAAGGTGGGGAATTAAGGTTCAGAGAGATTAAGGAGTTTGTCCACAGTAACATGTGACAGAGGAGGGAATCAAACCCAGGTCTCCCCTAGCCCAGACAAATGCTCTAATCAATGAACCATCCTTCCTCTCTGCAGTGTGCCTGGCTTGTCTGCTGGGGTCTAGCCCTGAACTGATCCAGGATTGTCTCCAGGGCGGTAGCTAAACACTCTCATTGCCTAGTCTACCTTTGCATCTCATCACCTCAACTAAGCATCCTGGATCTTGCAGGCTGCCTGCTTTTTGGGGTAGTCATAAAGACCAGGCTTTGGCAAATGTCTTGTCTTGGTGTGTGGGGTCACCCTGAAACCAGTGCAGTCTGCTTTGAAAGATGCAGGGCAGATATAACACCAGATCGGAATGACCTGATTGGATACACAGCCCTCAGACAGTGGAGTCCTGTCAGGGGCCTTGGATTTCATGTGACATTTTTCTATTGTTATATCTAGTGTAGGCTCTTGCCAGCACTGGTCTTAGAAACAACGGACACCTGAAAGAGTCTGCGTGGGCACTGCAGTAGAAGAGACACAGAGAGTCATATATGGCCCAGAAGTGAAACAGCAGCTCATAAATTTTGGAGTGTCTGGGACTCTAAGACCTCTTTGCCTGCACATGTTCCTTTCGGCTGTGGTTTCATGGCTAAGTTCAGTACTAACCCCTCATTGTACATGGGGATCTGTAAGTGCTAATACAGAATGTTTTGCCCTAGGCTTCCACTTGTTCTGCCCATAGTAAATAGGAGAGCTGTGCTGCCCCAGGCCGGTAGTGTCCTTTTAAAATAATTCTTCTCAACATGTGTCTTCATTGGTGGAGCTTTGGAAGCTAGGTAGGGAGAATGTCAAAGAATTGTTCCATATTGGCTAAATTTAAAGTACCATCAGTAGATAGAAAGGGATTATTGTATGTGACCTTTCTGGTTTTAGCTTTTTCCTAAAAAAAAATAAAAAAAATAAAAAAGGCTTCAGGCAACCAGGAAGCCATACTTGGCACTGGTGTGGCCGTTGCTGGAATATTGTGTCCTGTTCTGGTGCCCACAATTCAAAAAGTGTGCTGATAAATTGCAGAAGGGTCATAGAAGAGTGATGAGAAAGCTTAAAGGATTGGAAAACCTGCCTTGTGGTGATAGACTCAAGGAGTTCAATCTATTTAGCTTAACAAACAGAGGTTAAAGGTTTCAGAGTAGCAGCTGTGTTAGTCTGTATCCGCAAAAAGAACAGGAGTACTTGTGGCACCTAAGGGTATGTCTACACTACGAAATTAGGTCGAATTTATAGAAGCCGGTTTTATAGATATCGGTTTTATACAGTCGATTGTGTGTGTCCCCACATAAAATGCTCTAAGTGCATTAAGTCGGCGGACCGCGTCCACAGTACCGAGGCTAGCGTCGACTTCCGGAGCGTTGCACTGTGGGTAGCTATCCCACAGTTCCCGCAGTCTCCGCCGCCCATTGGAATTCTGGGTTGAGATCCCAATGCCTGATGATGCAAAAACAGTGTCGCGGGGGGTTCTGGGTACATGTCATCAGGCCCCTCCCCCTCCATCAGAGCAACGGCAGACAATCGATTCGCGCCTTTTTACCTGGATTACCTGGGTTACCTGTGCAGACAACATACCACGGCAAGCATGGAGCCCGCTCAGCTCAGCTCACCGTCACCATATGTCAT